ACTGTAAAATAATGCAGTCCTCCCCCTCTGGCATAAAGAACCCATATAAAGGCAACTCAAAGCAAAATCCCTATAAACCTAAAGTTGTAAGCGGGCCAGTTTTCAAAGCCACTGGGGAATGACTGCAGTGCCTAAATACAGAGGAGTAAAGATTGTGAGAAGTTTATCCTCAGGCTTGATGCAAGCTGCAGATAATGGCCATTATTGCCAGTTCGCTGGGCTGAAGTGAATCTTGGGTAAATTGTTGGTGAGTCAAGGACAGCAGGAGGGTGGCCATTTTTTGGTGCCAGCAGTTTCCCCAAATTGACAATTCCACCCCAAAGAGTAATGAAAACTGGTAGTAAGATCCATTGGAGAAATTGAACTTTCCTAAGCAGAACATGCCCAGCCTTCTAAACAGCTTTTCTGGTTGGAAAGTTTAGTAAATATTTATTTTAAATTGAGTGGAGCCAGTAAAGCCATTATTCCATGGGAGACAAAGACCCCTCTTGTACATTGAAGATTAGGTCTGGAGTAAAGACTTTACCTCAGGGAATAAGGTAGTGAGTGAATCCCCTGAGTGCATCTTGATCATAAACCATATCTTGGCCTTAGAAAGTGATGGTTCCACTGTGGAGACCAGTCAGAGCCAAGGCCATGGCACTGTTGGTGGTCCAGCTGCTTAGGAGCATGGGGGTGGGGCATGGGGGCAAAAAGAAGGGTGTAGAGTGGCAATAGTGGTAAGGGCTCATTAGTGAGAGAAGTAGACAGGCCCTTCTGTGACTCCAGGACGGCATGTTGCCTTCTGATTGCCAGGGTCAAAGATGTCAAAGAAAATCTGTGGTGTATTCTGAACAGGAGGGTGAACAGAAAGAGGTTATGGCCCAAGTTGGCACAGGCAGCAGGGTGGTTCAGTGGTTAGCACTGCTGCCTCACAGCACCAGCGAGCTGAGCCAATTCCAGCCTTGGGCAACCGTCTGTGTGGAGTTTACACATTCTCTTCGGTTTCCTCTGGATGGTCCTGTTTCTCCCACAGTCCAAACATGTGCAGGTTAGATGGATTGGCCATGGGGAATTGCTGATAGTACCCAGGAATGTGCAAGCTAGGTGGATAAGCTATGGGAAATGCAGGGTTACAGGGATTGGGTAGGGGGATGTGTCTGTGTGGGATGATCTTATGAGGGTTGGTGTGGATTTGATGAGCTGAATGGCCTGCTTACATACTGTAGGGATTCAATGACTCTGTAAGTTGGATCAATGACATAGAAAGAAACAGAACTGAGCCTGGAAGGAGACTTTCGGGTGTTAGGGAGAAAACTTAACTGAGTTGATCTCCAGATTACCCCCAGTGCCATGCAGTAGTGAGTATATTAATAGAAGAATAGAAAAGATGAATTGTGGCTGGAGAGATGGTGCAAGAGGGAGGGCTTTAGATTCCTGAGACAGTGGTAAGCAGGGACGTGTACAATTTAGATGTGTTACGCCTGAACATTGACAGGACTGACATCCTCACAAGGAGGCTTGTTAATGCTGTTGGGGCATATTTAAACTAGATTGGCAGGTGGATATGATCCTGAAAAGGAGTTCAGAGTAGAAAGAAACTGAAAAGGAATTATAAGTTAAAACACGAAAAAATGAGTTTTGAAGACAAAGGGAACATTTGCTAGGTAAGAAAGAGTTGGGTTTAGCAAGGCTAAATAGAATTTTTAATGCATGGGGCCTAAAGAATAAGACAAATGAGGTTAGGGCACAGATAGGTATGTGGGAGTACGGTGTCATTCCCATGACAAAAACTTGGTTGAAAAATGGGCAGGATTATCAGGTCACCATTCCAGGCTAAAGGATACCCAAGCAACATAGTGAGGGGGATTGAAGAATCATAGAATCATGGAATCCCTACAGTGTGGAAGTAGGCCATTCAGCCCATCGAGTCCCACACTGACCTTCCAGACCTACCCCCGCTAACCTTATCCCTGTAACCCTGAATTCACCAGAGCTAATGTGCCCAGCCTGCACATCCCTGGACGCTATGGGCAATTTAGCATGGCCAATCCACCTAGCGCACACATCTTTGGACTGTGGGAGGAAACCAGAGCCCCCAGAGGAAACCCACACAGACTCGGGGAGAATGTGCAAATTCCACACAGACAATTGCCCGAGGAGGATCAATTAGAGAAGCTGAGACTGTTCTTGGAGAAAAGAAGGCTAAGGGAAGATTTGATGGAGATTATCAAGAACATGAACATACTGGATAGTGTAGATGGGGAGAAGCTGTTCCTGCTTGTAAAACAGTAAAGAAAGAGTGGTCATTGATTTAAAGCAATGCATAACCAAAGCAAAGGTGAAGTGAGGAAAAGCTTTTTTAACATTGTGGGTAGTTAGCATATAGAATGCACTGCCTGGAAATGTGGTGGAGGCAAGTTCAATGAGGCATTCAGGAGGGCAATGGATGATTTTGTGGATAGACATATTGTGCAAGGATATGAGAAAAGGCACTAAGTAAGAGGATAGGTGCAGGAATGATGGGCTAAATGGCCTCCTTCTATGCCATAACAATTCTGTGATTTGGTGATGTTAGAGAATGGGAAGGTACTAATAGGTTTTACAGTCTTAAAATGGATTAAACTGCAGATGATTGTTGAGGGAAATAAGGGAAGAGATATCACTTGTCCTGGCAGTAATTTTCAGATCCTTTCTGGCCTCAAAGAGGCGCCAGAGGACTGGAAAACTACTAACATTGTCCCATTATTAAAAAAGGGAAAAAGGAACAAACCAGGAAATTATAGACCAGTCAGTCTAACCTCGGTGGTGGGAAAGTTATGAGAAAGAATTCTGAGGGATAACATAAATCTGCATTTCGAGAGACATGGATTAATTAAGGGGAGCCCAAGTGTCACGTTGGATCCAAAATTAGCTGAGAAGCAGAAAGTGATGGTAGAAAGATGTTTCTGTGAACGGAAATCTGTTGCTAGAGAGAATCCATAGGCTTGAGCTGGGTCCCTGCTGTTTGTGGTGTAAATTACTTATTTGGATTTAAATGCAGAGGGTAAGACCAAGATTATAGCAGATGACTTGGGTATTGGTAGGATGGTAAATAGTGAGAAGGATAGCCATAAACTGCAGGAGGATATTAACAGACCACTCAGGTGGGTGCAGTAGCAAATGGAATTTATGCCACCAAAGTGTGGGATAATGAATCTGGGGAGGATTATAAAATTAAGGAATTACACTGTAATGGTTAGAATACTGGAAAGTACTGAAGATCAGAGGGACCTTCGTTTGCATTTTCTCAGATCCCTTAAAGTAGCAGGGCAGGTCAGTAAGGTGGTTAAAAAGGCATGTGGAATACCTGGCTTTATTAGCCAAGGCACTGAATACAAGAACAAGGTGATTACACTGGAGCTGTATGAAATACTGGGCTAGGCCACCAACTAGCGTACTGCAGGTAGTTCTGGTTACCACATTACAGGAAGGTTGTGACTGCACTAAAGAAGTTGCAAAGGAGATTTACCAGGGTGCTGCCTGAGCTGGAAGGTCTGAGCTATGAGGAAAAATTGGATAGGCTGGGATTGTTTTTTCTTGGTGCAACGAAAGTTGAGAGGAGATTGGAGAGGTGTGTCTGAGATTATGAGAGTTTAGATATGGTGGATAGGAAGGCTTTTTTTTCCTTTAGAAGAGGGATCAATAGCCAGAGGTCATAGATTTAAGGTAAGTTGTGGAAAACTAAGAGGAATTAAAATTGGCTTATAGTAATCAAATTGTTGTTGATTGGTGTAGACATGACTGGTTGAATGGCCTTCTGTGTTTTAAATATCCATGAGTTTGAGATTGAGGTATCATGAGATATCAGAAGTATATCTGGTTAAGTGTATATGCTGCCTCCAGAAACCTGCATGGCCCAAAAGACCTGTGGGGCTGGGAGAGGTCTTCTACAAGCAGCCACCCTCCCAGGCTCAGTTGCTGCTCCTTCTTGGTGTTCCGCTTGCTGCTTCTGCTGCTGGACTTCCTTCTCCATTCAGTTCACAGCAACAAGAATGACACCCATCCTAAACCCTGTGCTTACATAATATAAAATAAGCAAATCAAAAGCCAGAAATAAACAATTTCTAAGCTCAAGTATTCTTAGAAATCCAAAAAAAAAGTACATGGATCTCTATGATCTGAATGCTACTTTAATTACTGCTTCCTGTGGCATTCTGAAACCAATCCTGCCAGCCTTTATACAATGGATTCAGTGCTGAGTGAAACTTAGCTATTCCATAAAAATATTTCTTTGGGATCCTAGGTGCATCAGATGTTCCTGCCTTTTATATGCTGTCTTGTTGCAGGCAAAAACCTGGATCACATACATAAAACATATATGGCTATTGTTGTGGTGATTGGGAATTGAGTGGAAATGTAGTAGTAAAGATCCCAAGGATATTTTAATTATACACCCATTCCATTCCTGTAGGGGAAGCTGGGGATAGAAGATTGCTTGAAATCCGCCCCGTAAAATCTCCGTTTTGAAAGCAATAGGCTGATGTGTTTGTAATTGATAGCCTATTTGTGATTTGGCGACAGAATGACACAATTATATCTTTCTTCTCCAGAGAAATGCTCAAGAATAGCCTTTGCATCACTGTCAAGGGAAAATATGTGTTTTTACCACATTGTACTTTTTTTGTCTATAAACAAATGCAGAACAAATGAACTAATAAACTGAAAGAAATAAGTGGAACAGGGCTTTCTGTTTACCACTGCAAAAGATATCTGGGAAATGCTTTGGGCACGGTTCATAAGATGAAAGGTATGATCCTTGCTCTTGGTCCAAATACCACAAAGAACTACATGCAGTTTCTGACATGAACAAGTTTGCTCAGTTCAGCACATACAAAATCTGACTTCAATGTTAAGTTACTTTAGATGTATGGTGGAGTTGTTCTTTTAATCACTTCGTTTTTTTTTTCATTTACTTCCTCCAGGACAATGTTAACATTGTGCAGATTAAATGAGCTCAATTCTCATTTTTTTTTCTAAAGCTTGTCCTAATGGATATTATGTTTGCTCTACTGGTCTGTGCATCCGACAGTCTCAACGTTGTGATGGATCAGATGACTGCTTTGATGAAAGTGATGAAGTATTTTGTTGTAGGTACCTCCAAAGAATATTTGCCTTAAAGCTACATTTACTTCACAAAAAAAATGCTAGAAAGCTTTATGGGAAGAAAACCTAATTGATAGAAAATTATGCAGGCTGCAAATTACACATGTAGATTTTTGTAGACAAATCTCTGTCATATACTGTTGTCATACATAGCTGTCCACAGCAAGCCGTAAATTGAAAATTTTATTCCAGTCTGCTATTTTCACATGTGCTTAAAGAAATATATGTGCTGGGACTGATATTGTTATCCAAATAACAGTGAGACCCCAATACCTGCTTGCTGGTATTTGCTGAAATGTTACAGCTACAGAAAGCAAGGTATGGATGCGGATTTAAATGGCGTTAGTCAAAGCTTGCTTGTGATTGTGTATTTTACCATAAGCTTTATAAAAACGTTTTACTTTCTGCCTCACTATTGAGGCACTGAAAGTCATCAAGTGCTGTAATTGCATGGTATATGCAAACTGAATTCCCCGCAAAAAAAAGGTCTTGTCATTTCAATAGTGTGTGAGTACACTGTTAACAATAATATCTGTTAATTACCACCAATTAACCACTCTGGCATTGAAATGTAATTATTACAAGTGTGGACCCCATTTCCTCAGATTTTAGTATTTATAGGAGATTTTAAAAATGTACTTTAGTAAATTACTTTTCCGTTGTATCACCTTTCTCACTCTCATTCAACTTGCCCTTTATTTCACATCCCTATATGACTTGAGATTGAAGTCACCTACTCTAATTTACACTTCTTTCTCTGTCCTTGTGCTGTAAATTTCACAAGCCCTCAATGTGCTTGCTTAAAGGTGGGACAGTTTCTTGCTTTGTTCAAACAGACCCTCGATGCCCCATTTCCCTCACATTTTGCAATTTCTAAAACTTTGCATGCAGCGTAATTTAAAACCAGAATTTATGGGGCCAAGACTACCAGATGCTACCAGATGTCTTTCTAAAGCACAATCTGACCATAGCTTGGCTATTGGAATGCAGTAAATGGATGCAGTTCATTAGAGGAAATGTCATCTGAATCTGTGCCAATGAAAATTATCCCTTTTTTCAGTCTCTGTACTAAAACATTGATGCCTTAGACAATTTTTGATACAGATTAGTAGACTGTAAATCTAAAGATTACCAATAATTAAAAAGTAAAACTTATGAGGTAGAAACTCGGCTGGTTTTGTTGTAATACCATAGGGTATCACCATTGCCAATGCCCTGCACCATTGCCAATGCCCTGAACCATTGTTTAATCTGGTATTGCTACTGACGTTCTCCATCTCTGGCCTCATGCTGTTCTCTACTAGAAGGCTCAGAGTGGGACCAAATTAAACAGCAGGATTATAGCCTATCCAGGCATAAGGGAAAGTTATCCAGTATGAGTAAAAGACAGGCAATATTAATGAAAAGGAATATTCAGTCATAGCAGCAATGGTAACATTGTCTCAAGAGCAAACACTTGCCCCTTTGTTCTGTAAAAACCTGTCTTCAATAGATGATGTTCTTAAATGTCAAGCTTCAGAAGTGATCTCTGAAAACATAATTCCCCCACCTGTGCTGAAAATGTAGCGAAAAATTTGAAGGTAATGAGACCAATAAGAGAAGACCTTTCTTTCAGGGTATGGGCAGTTTTCTTTAATTTGTTTTTTCTTCATGTAAATGTCCTTTTCAAATAGCGAGATGAGTTCTGACAAGTGGACTCATGACAACTTTCCTTTGTCTAAATCTAATATTTGACAGTAATATAGAAATAAACATACGTTGTGAAATTGCAAAGACGTTTTTTTTGATTGTTGACCTAGAAACCTCTGCTCCAACAAACGTTGAAAATGAAGCAGTGAAAAGTTTTGAAGGAATTATTTTTTGTTTTAATTTCCCTTAATACAAGAGATGAAGAGTGTTATACCAGAGTTTTCAACTTTTTAGCATGTGTGTAATAAATGTAAAGATTCCAGTTCCACATTTTTACGTTTCAATTTGTGATCTATGGCCAAGGTGCAAAGCCTAGTGAGAGTGTGGGGTGGAGGGGATGTTGGCTGGAGGGGGAGTTAAGAGTGCTGAGTTACACCAATATTTTCTGGGATTTTTTTGAAATAGTTTTTGAGGGATTAACCAGTGATCATAGAGTAGTTGTAATGCATCAATGGTTGAATGCAGGTTGCCACTTTGTGTAATATGTAATACAAGTGGAAGTCTTAATGTCAGACTTTGCACTCCTGAAATTTGCTAAGGGTTGCAGAAATTATACACAGGTTGTTTACCAGTACCGCCTTATATGACATTCTCTGAACAGAAACTGAACTTCAGTCAGTACATTTGTTGTATGCTGTATGAGTTATTGGTAAGGTGATTGTATCGTGGTAACAAAAACATAAGAATCACACATTATATGTTATATTATCCTGTTATAGGAAGGATATTATTAAGCTGGAGAGGTTCAGAAGAGATTTACCAGGATGTTGCCGGGAATGGATTGTCTAAGTTATAATGGAGAGGCTGAATAGGCTGGGACTTTTTTCACTGGAGTGTAGGAGTTTGAGGGGATGACTGTATGGAGATTTATAAAATCATGAGCAGTATAGATAAATATAGATAACGGCAGGTTGCTTTTTCCTAGGGTGGGGGATTTCAAGATGAGGGGGCATATTTTTGAGGTAAGAGGAGAAAGATTTAGAAATGACTTGAGGGGCAATTTTTTTACAAGGAGAGTGGTTCATGTGTGGAATGAACTTCCAGAGGAAGTGGTGGATGTAGGTACAGTTACAATGTTTAAAAGACATGAACATGAAAGGTTTGGAGGGATATAGGACGGGGCAGGCAGGTGGGACTAATTTAGTTTGGGATTATGGTCAGCATGAACTATTTGAACAGAACAGTCTACTTCCATGCTGTATGATGCTTTGATGCCATAAGAAATAGAAAGAGGAATAGGTCATTTTGGTTCCTCAAGCTTGCTCATCTTCCTATAAGATCACAGCTCATCTGCCTCAGGATTCAACTCCTCTTCTGTGCCAGCTCCATAAAGCTCTCAACTCCCTCCCCAATATTTCAAACTCTATCTTCTCTTTCATATTTTCAGTATCCAGTCTTCACAAATCTCTGTGGCAGAGAGTTCCAGACATTCACTACTCTCTGAGAGAAGAAACAATTTCACATCTCAGTTTTAAGCAAGTGCCCCCCTATTCTGTAGCTAATATTGAGATTCCCACACTAGTGGAAACATCTACTCTCTCAAGCCCCCTCAGAATCTCGAATGTTTCAATAAAATCCCCCTCATTCTTCCAAATGCTAATGAATAAAGATCTAATCTGTTGAGTTGTTCTTAATAAGTCAACCACTTCACCCCAGGCATTAGGGTAGTGAATCTTTTTTGGGTTGCCTCCAATGCCAATAGATACTTTCTTAAATGTGGGGCTAAAACAATATACAGAACTACAGGCACAGACTCACCAAGATCTGCACAGTTCATGGAATCATAAAACTGTTACAGTGCAGAAGGAAACCCATTGTGTCTGCGTCAGCTCATCAAATGAGCATCATTACCTATTCCCTGCTTTTTCCCACACTCTTGCACATTATTCTTATCCAAATAATCATCCAATGCCCTCTTGAATGCCTCAACTGAACCTGCCTCCACCATACATCCAATTCCATATCCTAACCACGTGTTGAGTGAAAAGATTTTCTTCATTTCACCCTTGTTTCTTTTGTAGATCACTTTAAATCTATGCCACTTTGTTCTTGTTCCTTTTACAGGTGGGAACAATTTCTCCCTATCTACACTATCTAGCCACTCACGATTTTGAAAAATTCTATTAGAGCCCCTTTCAGTCTTCTTTTCTCCAAGGAGAACAGTCCCAACTTCTTCAATCTATCTTCATGACCAAAGTTTCTCATCCTTGGAATCATTCTTGCAATCGGTTCTGCAGTCTCTCCAATATGTTCACATTGTCCCTATAATATAATGCCCAGAAATTTTTACAATACTCCAACCGAGGTCAAAAAAGTGTCTTATACAAGTTCAACAATATTTCCTTGCTCTTGTACTCAGTTCTAGCAAGAATTCCTTACTTTTAAACTACAACTCCTGAAAAATAAAGGAAGGGGTTCTGAGGAAGGGTCACTTGACCCAAAACGATAACTTTGATTTCTCTCCACATATGCTGCCGGACATATTGAGCTTTTCCAGAAGTTTCTATTTTTGTCCCTGAATAATAAAGTCCAGAGCTCCATTATCCTTTTAAAGGTATGCTTACTTTTTGTGCTGCATGCTCAAGAACATCCTGATTCTTCTGCGCTGTGCCGTCTGCACTGCACATTTTGGAAGTCTCTTAATTTAAATAATAAACAAAAACAGAAATTGCTGGAAAAACTCAGCAGGTTTGGCAGCATTTGTGGAGAGAAGTCAGAGTTAACGTTTCAAGCCCAGTGACGCTTCTTCAGAACATTAAGTAATATTCTATCTTTTGATTCTTCCTACCAAAGTGTATGACCTCTTACTTTCCTACATTAAATTCCATCTGTTAAGTTTTTGCCCACTCACTCAATCTATCTATATCCTGTTGAAGATTCCTTATGTTCTCATCTAAATTTGCCTTCCCACCAATTTGTATTGTCAGCAAATTTGGAGAGGTTACATTCTGTTCTCTCCTCAAAGTCATTGATATAGATAATATATAATTGAGCCCCTAGGACTGTCTCTTGTGGCATTGTGCTAGTTACATAATTCCAACCTGAAAATGATCCATTTATCTCAACTCTCTGTCTTCTGTGTGTTAACCAACCCTCATCCATGCTAATATTATCCCCCATTACCGTGAGGTCCAATCTTGGGGCACCTTGTTGAACATCTTCTAGAAATCCAATACATTACATTTACCAGTTCCCTTTTATCAATTCTGCTTGTTATGTCCTCAAAGAATACTAACAAGTCTGTCAATTATGATTTCCCTTTCAAGAAGACCATGTTGACTCTGTTTGACTGCAC